AACCCTCCGAAGGTGGGGCTGGGGTGCCCAGTAGCTCAAGCACCCAGAATGGAGGTGCACAGACAGCAAGGGACCAATGAACAGAAACTGAAAGAAAAGAATTTCCACACCTTTATCTCAGTGGTTCTGCCAGGTGTCTGTGGCTGCTCAGATCCTTCCCCCATGTGGTCTCATTCAAGATGGCGGCTCCTGGAGCAGCTGAGCGTCCCGGACTAGAAAGCAATAGATTTCTTGCTTCTGCCACAAATTTCCCCAGCTGTGAGCCTTCCAACCTTCTAAGTATTCCTTTATATGTGACTCAGAGTTCTGGGACCATCCCCTGAGCCTGCTTGGTCGGGTATTCTGTGTTGTTGTTGGCGGAGCTCTGTACTACACGTCCACCCGATCTGCCATCTTGTTTGTTCTTTTTTTTGAGGGCTAAGTACTTTGCATGTAGTAACTCATTTACTCCTTACAATAACCTTGTGAGATAGACACTCTATTCCTCGTTTGCAGTTGAGGAAACTGGAACTTTGCAAAGTTAAGAAACGTACCCAAGTGCAAATATACCAACCCACCTAAGTGGTGGTTGTAGGATTGGAACCAGAGATATCTGACTTCAAAGCTCGAGCTATTAACCACTACTCACTATAGGAGTCTCACGGTGGAAGCCAAGGACTTTGGCTGATGTGGAGAATTTCTTGTTAAGGTGTCTCAGGTAGATTATAAGTAACTGAGAAATGTGGATAGGGGTGCCTCTGAGGGCCTTGGTGACATCTAGGACCTATGAAGTTCTTGGGAGAGTTCTGAGGGTGTATCTTGGGATTTTATGGCGGTCTGAGGTTTTAATGAAATCTGGAGAACTCTGAAATTCTTTTGGGTCATGTTCTAGGTTTGTTTTTTTTAAATGTTTTATTGTAAATTATGTGATAATTTACATGGGAGAACATTAGTTTTACATTCATACTATCGTATATTGTTTCACTGCCATGGTTACAATCCTTTAGGTTTTTTTGTGACCTTGATAAGATCTAAGGTCCTCTACAGTCTATGGAAGGGGTTCTGGACTCCATGGAGGAGGGTATCAGGTACTCAATTGCATTCTTGGGGAGAGTGTTTAGCTTCATCAGTGCAGCTGTGTAATTTCCCCTGTAGGAAGGACATTGTTCAAGCAGGTTCATCCTTCACCCCAAGCCCTGATCTTTGCTTGGGCCTCCCTCCAATGTGTCCCCTTACCTTGAAGAGCTGTACATCATTGCAGGAAAACATGAATTTCAGGAGTGTGGTGACAATCATGATGTTTCCAATGGTCCGAAGGGCCACAAACATACATTGTATCACATGCTGCAAGCACCCACACATATAGCTAATGGGAACTGCATCCACCATGGCCATGGGGTGGGGGTTCTCATCATGGATGAGGCAAAGGGATTTGGGCCAGGAAAATATGGTTGTGAGTTAAGAATAAGAGGGCCCCAACCAGGAATGAGTGTCAGTCTGGGGTACATGGCCACATGTCAGAAACTTGGATCAAAGAAATGTGGCCAGTGGTTATGAACATATGGTCACTGGTAAGGAACATGGGTCAAGCCACATGGCCAATGGTCCAAGATGTTTAGCTGCATGCTGGGTCAAGGCTGTATGCTTCAGTGCAAATGGGCATCTGATAAGTGCTCCTAGCCCCAGGCCAGGCAGGGCAGGGTCTGGGCCATGCTGGGTTGGGTGGAGTAGGAGATACCTTAAGTCCTTTGGCCCTGTTGATGGCTCGGAGGGGCCCCAGTACCCAGAGGACATGAAGAGTCTTCACCACTGAGATGGCGCTGGAGCTGAAGAGAGGACAGTTCTCAGGCCATAACCCAGGCATGGCCTCAGATCCAGGGGTAATTGAGTGGGACAGGGTAACTCACTGGATGCCAAAGGAGATGAGGGATACACTGACTACCAGCAGATCCAACAGATTGAATTAGCTACGGCAGAAGGACCCATGGTGCAGGAAAGTCCCAAACACAATCATCTGAGGGCAGGAAGACATCAGGCCAGACCCCCAAATCTAGGAGTAGTTGGAGGAAGAGGATAAATAGGCAGGAGAGGTGGGCTGTGGTGGCAGGTGGGGAGTGGGCTGGGTAAACTAGAAGTATAATTGAGAGTCAGTCACCTTTAATAGAATTTCCACAGTGAAGATGGAAGTGAAGGCATAGTCGAAGTAACCCAGAATCTGGGGAGTAAGAAAACAGGGGAGCCACTGAGTCATGGTCTAGAGGATTCTAGGTGTTGTTTGTGTGTATGTGTGTATATGCCCTTCTCTGTGTAAGTTTTGCTCTCCCTTCCTCCCTTTCCCTCTTTTGCCATCATCAAGGACTTTTCTACAGCCTAAGTACTTGGCCATCAGAAAGATTAGGGTTCAAATCTCCACTTCTGCTTCTACCCAGTTGCATGAATGCCCTCAGCCTACTTAACCTCTCTGAGTACAGCTTCCTCCTCAGTCACACACCAACATCTTGTATGTTGTATACACCATGTAGAACAGCCATTATTGCTCCTCTCTCTCTGCCCTATTTTCTGCTCAGTAAGACCCTCTCTGAAAGTGCCCCTTCTCTCAGCCTTCAGCCACAGGCTCATGTGGTTGTGAAAGTAGTGGGCTCGGATGGGATCCTCAGTGGCTAGGGACACACTGCTGAGGATGATGAGCACCAGAATAAGATTGGTGATGGTATGGTGGTGGATGAGGATATGGCAGGTTTTCCTTAGTCTGAGGAGGGGAGGAATGGACCACAATTCTGGCCCTGTTGCAACAGGTCATGCATCCTACCCTTCTGTGGCTGGTTGGGATGGGGTAGGACCCCTGCCTTGGTGCTCCATGGCTCTGCCCCTGCCTCAGCCCTCTTTTGCCCTGGCCACCAACAATCCTTGGCACTCACAGGTTGGTTTGGCTAAGGCAGAAGAAGGCGCTGCCCTCAGGGATGGGTACCACCTTTTCCTGGGGTACAACTTCTTGCATAATTTCCACACGCCTGGCACATCTTTCTTCTGCCACTTCCTCTTCTTCTTCCTTCTTTTCCATGCCTGGCACCAGAGAGAACTGATTGAGAAAATTTATGTAGAGCAGCTGGAGCGGTGCTTGTCACAGAAAATTCTCCTCCACCCCCTGCTAGAATTTCAGTCCCTATTGTTCATTGCTTTATCCCCAGCCCTTAGAACAGTAGAGCTGAGTAAATGTGTACTAAATGAACATCACTATACCCCATTATTTTATAATAAAAGCTCCAAGAAGTTCTACAGCAAAAAAAAAAAAAAAAAAAAAATGTGAAAGGTCCCAAATGCTGTTGGTCACTCACCTATCATATTTTCAGGTTGATTATGGAAAAGGTTGCTCCCCAGAGCAGAAGGTCTCAGGGGTCTGTAGCTCTGCTTGCGTTCTGTTCCCAAGGTCCCATACCTCTTCTACTTGGCCCTGCCCACTTGCCTGCTCTTTCACTCTTGTGCATCTTCTTCATCTTTCTCCCCATCAGGCACCTCATTGTTCCCATCAGAGAGATGGGCCCATCAATGGTGGATAGACACAGGGGAAGTGTGGAAAGGATAAAATCATGGGGGAATTAATAGGCAGAGGATGGGGTTTAGAGACATACACAGACAGCTATCGGTGGTAGTGGGAGGTGTGGATAATGTCCTGACTTCTCTAGTGGGAGATTCCCTTCAGTGCTCTTCTCCCTGTGTGAGGAGATGAGGGTGGTGATTGCTGAAGACTTCAGTAGGTGTGAAAGGCTGAGGGGGACCATTGCAGTCAGAATAGACCTATCTTGGATCCCATAGAACCTTCCTGCTTCTGCACTCACTTTCCACAGTCTGTTTTCTCCACAGCATCCAGAGGTATTGTATTAAACCCTAAGTCGGGCCACATTTCTCCTATGCTCAAAACTCTCCTGTGACTCTCCCTTCACTCAGAGCAAAAACCAAAAGTCCTCACCATGACTCACAAGCTCTTTGATATGGCCTCTCTAGTCCCCCTTTGACCTCTCCTCCTACCACTCCTCCTTGTTCATTCTGCTCCAGACTCACTGCCCTCCTGGGTAATTTTTGGGATGTATTTAGAACTTTAATGCTTCAGGACCCTTGTATTTGCCACTCCCTCACTGTCAACACTCTTCTCACAGATATTTGTATGGCTCACTCCCTCACTTCATTGAGGTTTCTTTTCAAATGTCACTTCCTCATAGAGGCCTTCCTTGACTATCCTAACCAAAAAACAATTTTCATTTCATTTCTTCCTATCCTTTTATTTTGCTACTTTTTTTCTGCATTATATATTGTTAACATAAACATAATTATATTGTGGACTCCTGATGTGACATGGTAGGATGAACACTGGACTGCTAACCACAAGGTCGGTGGTTCAAACAATACAGGGTTGCTATGAGTTGGAACTGACATGAAGACATTTAACAACAACAATTAAATTGTAAGTATATTTATTTGTTTGTATTTTGCTTGCCTTTCCCAACTAGAAAGTCAGTTCCATGAAGGCAAGGCCAGTGTCTGTTTTGATATCTGCTTTTGTCTCAGTGTCTGAAACAGAGCTTGGTTCAATAAATGCAAGTTGAATGAATGATGAATGGCATGTTGTATCTGTACGTGGGGATTACTTGAGTGGTCAGCAATATCTCTGGTGATGTGGGGTGTGTGTGTGTGTTCCTTGTAAGAGATCCCAGGGAAGACTAAGAAGGGTAAGGCCTCACCTGCCCTTATCCTTGGCAGTGCCTGCATCTCCACTGGCCAGGTTGTCCACAGCAATAGCAAGAAACACATTCAGCAGAATGTCTGAGGTGAGCTCAGGTTGAAAAGGATGAAGAGGCAGCCTGCACATGGTGCCCCCAGATCTCCCTTCCCACCCTCATCCCATTGCTATCTAGGATACAGTTGCCACAGATGAAAAGGATGACGAAATAGATGCAGACTAGCATCCCTGGGAAGACGGGATCACCAATAGACCATAATACCGTCATACATGACCACATTCCAGTCCTCACCCGTAAGAATCTGGAGATGGGAAGTCATCATGAAGCTCTTAAATCTCTTCCGACTCACTAACCCACCCAACCCAGTGTTTCCAGGTCCTACCTGAAAGACTGTAAGGAGGACCTGGGGGAAGGTATAAAAGTTGTACTTTGCTTGGTGTGGGTCTGGTCAAAGTTGAACTTGCCCCCAAACAGCTGCATGCCAAGCAGATGATGATAAAGAAGAAGAGGAGAAGCAGCAGGGATGTAATGGATTTCATTGAATTGAGTAGAGATGCCACCAGTTTGCTCAGTGATGCCCAGTGTCTGCAGCAGAGATAGAAGGGGATAGAGTTGGTAGAATGTCCACTGTGACCTAGTAGCCTGGGCAGGGGCTCCAACTTGGGATGCATTGGGGTGGGCTGGGTTAGATTGGGATTTGATATCAAGATTAGGGTAGAGACGAGATGAGAATAAGAAGTGAAGGAAAAGTAAAGTTCGGTATTAGGGGTGTAATGGGAAATGAGGTTAGGATAGGAGATTGGATAGAACTTGGTGAAACTAGAATTGGGTTTCAAGTTGAGACTGGGGTTAGGAGGAATGGTTGTTGGTTAGGAGTTATAGCTGGGAATGGGTTATGGGTTGGGTGTTATGTGGGTCTAGAAATGAAGTTGGGGATAAGGTTGAGGGTTAGGTAGTGGTTGCCATTGAGGGTTGGGATAGCGATTTGGATGGGATGGAGATGGGAATGAGCTTGGGGATAGAGTTGTGAATGAGGCTGTAGTTGAGGGTGGCATTGGAGATAAGGTTGGAGACACATTGTAGTTGGTAATTTGGGGTTGGATATAGGAATATAGATAGAGAATAGGGTTGTGGTTGGAAGGAGAGTGATGTTTTGGAATTAAGGATGTGGTGTTGTGGTAGGGTTAGAGGATGGATTTATAGATGGTAGTTAGAGCTGGGGATAGGGCTGTGGCTGAGAATTATAGATGAGGTTGGAGATGGGATGGGTTTGGGATTATGCGTCGGGGTTGTAAATCGGTTTGTGGATATTATGTTTGGGGATAAGGGTGGGGTTTTGGTTGGAAATAGGTATAAATTTGAGTTTGGAGACGACATTGGAGAAATGTTAGGTCTTGGTTTGAGGTGGAAGAAAGGGATGGAAATGGAGTAGACATCCCCACAGCCCACCTCCCTTCAATGGACTCTAATCTCCATGAAGGCAGGAAATTGTATCTGCTTTGATTCCTAGGGCCTGGAATGGTATATGGCCTGAAGTAGGCACGCCATTGATATTTTCTAAATGAATGGTGATGCAAATGAAGTTATCATTGGAGCTGGGGTAGGGGTTTTCGGGATTGTGTTTAGGGCCCCAGCCTTCCCTGCCCCCACACAAACCTTGTGACCTTAAAGATCCTGAGGAGGCACACACTTCCCGAGTACTGAGATGTCCAAAGGCTGTATGGCATGCACCTCCACCAGGGTGGTCTCCAGGATTCCCCGGCAGATCATGAAGCAGTCGAAGCGATTGAAAAAGGAGGAGACATAGGCAGAGGGACCCAAACCATACAGCTTGAGAAGCATCTCCACCGTGAATAAACAGAGCAACACTTTGTTCGCATACTCTGTATGGGGCAGGGGTAAGAGTGACTGGGCTGCCAGTCTCCATGGTTACATGGCAGAGGTAGATCCCCCTATGGTGCCATCTCTGGGAGCTGGAGTCAAACTAAACTCAAGCTGAGGTAGGGGTTAGGGTTAAGGATTAGTGTGAATTTGTAAGATAGAGTGGGTAAATTTTTAAGGAACTTTGAGCTGGGGCAAAGTTGGGGTATGGGCCAGAGCCAGCCTCTATTAAGTCCAGGAAAACTCCAATTCAAGGGTAGAGTTAAGGTCTGGGGTTTAGTTGGGCCTGGTCTTGGTTTGTGTATTGGTGTTAGAAGTGCATTCAATTTTCAGATTGGGGTTGAGGTGATAATGAAAATAATATGCCACAACATTTATAAAGTACCCATTTGGGGCCAGGTAATATTCTAAGCACTTTCTATTTGCACTCATTTAATCCTCCCAACTACCCTATGAAGGGGATAATATTCCTATTTTGTAGATGGGGAAGTTGAGGTAAAGAGGGGTTTTGTCCAGACAGCGTGGTGTTAAAAGCCTGGACTCTGGAGTCAGGCTGTCTGGGTTCAAATTCTTGCTCTGCCACTTATCAACTGAATCCTGGGATCAGTTCCTCAGTATTCACTACTCTGTGCGATAACATTGAATTCACATAAGATTGTGGGGGAAGGTGAATGAGGTAAACAGAGCTTGATGCACCCACTAAATGCTACATAAATGCAAACTCCAAAGTGGGATGGTACTGGCGAAATTTTTTTGGCATTTGTTTGGGTGGAAAGGCAGTGTTTGGGGATCCCAGGCATCCAAGATCGCAGATTTGAGCTTCTGGGATAGAGGTAGTTGGGGGTGGGGTGGGGAAAAGTGCTGGCAGTCTGAGGAACACATCCTGGATTTGGGTGAGCCACATGGGTTGCCCATGGTGCTCTGAGGCAATGGTCAGAGTGTTGAGGAAGACCACCAGCAGCATAGCCCAGTAGCAGTCATTGGACTTCACTGCCCACTGGCAATGTGCGCGCAGACCTCGGTTGGCTCAGTTGAGGCAGTGGCTAATGGGGAAATGGGAGCCCACCATCTGAGATCATCTACTCAAGCCTCCTCTGAGCGACTCAGGTAGGGGAACCTGGCACTTATGTGGGGATTGGAGGTGTGGAGTCACAATGTCATGAGGTCCCAACTTACCAGACCCTGGTTTTCATGATCTTTTTCTGGAAAAGAGGGGATGGGAATTGGGGTCATAGGGACTAATGGGGAGCCTGGGTTGGGGTTCAGGTCTGAGGCTAAAGTAAGGACTAGGTTTGGGGCTGGGGTCAGGAATCAAGGACTGGGGACCCTCACAGGCAGCGTGTACAGCTGGCCAGAGCACCCCCTCTTCCTCTTCCTCCTCTCCTGGGGTTTCCACCATTGAATTGGGCTGTGGGCAGGGTAGTGATAGAAATCAGAACCTGAAGACCCCAGGGTTCTGTCTTTGCCTCTGCCCTGCCCCTCTTCCCAAGCCTAGCTAGACCCCCACCATGGCTGCTGCTGGAGTATGTGGAACGAGTGGCGTGACTGAAGCAGCACAGACATCCAAGTCTCCTATTGGTCAGCGTGTCCAGCTGAGGCTCTGTAGGGATAGAGGGAACAGTTGGGAAACATAACTTGGGTTAGGACCATATCTTAGGGTAGTTATTTGGAGCCTTTGTTCTAGTACAGAGTGAGGAGGGTATCAGAGGCTGGGCCTGAACTGGGGGTCAGGTAGAGTTGTTGCAAGGTCTTAGGAGGGCATGTGTGAAGCAGGGTACAGGACATAGTGGAGCTGTCTATGGTGACCAGCCCAGTCCTTTTTAGCCATAGAACTGGAGTTGCCACCTGTAGAGGGGTTCTCGATGTCTAGCTCCTCAGCCTTGGTGATCCAGTCTAGATAGCCCTGCAGGTCCTCCTCTAACTGTTACTTCTCCCGCAGCTTCTGGAAGTCTCCTCGTGCTTTTGCCTTTTCCCTTTCCTTGGAGAACTCCTTGAGGGAAAAGCAAAGAGGGCAAGGTGAGGGAATTACTTCTGGCCCCTTCCCTTCATCACTCCAGCCACACTAACTTCCTCACTGTTCTTTGAATAGTTGTTGTTGTTCTGTGCCGTGGAGTCGTTTCTGACTCATAGCGACCCTGAAGGGTTTCCGAGGCTGTAAATCTTTACGGGAGCAGAAAGCCTCATCTTTCTCCCGCGGAGCAGCTGGTAGTTTCGAACACATCCCGATTCGTAACCACTACGCTACCAGAGCTCTAGACCAGGGGTGGGGAACATCCCACCTGAGGCCATATTGCTGTTAAGTGCCATCTAGTAGATTCCGACCCATAGCGACCCTGTGCAGGGTTTCCGAGGAGCAGCTGGTGAGCTTGAGGGGAACATCCCACCTGAGGCCATATTGTTGTTAAGTGCCATCTAGTAGATTCCAACCCATAGCGACCCTGTGTAAGGTTTCCAAGGAGCTTGAACCACTGACCTTGCACTTCAAACAACTTTGAAGTCTGACACATTAGCCCACAGTGCCACACCATGACCCTTGAAATAATTTAGTCTGGCCCTACCAAGGCAACTGCAGTCCCAGCCTTCACATTGCTGTTAAGTGCCATCGAGTCTATCCCAACCCATAGTAACCCTGTACAGGGTTCCTGAGGAATGACTGTTGAGTTTGTACTGCCAACTTTGCAGTTCATACCAACTTTGCAGTCTAGTGCATTAACCCACAGGGCCACACCAGGACTCCGCCATCACATTAGGGGTGAGTTAATGAAATGTTTAACCAAATAGAACAGGCTAATTTTTAAGTTGATAATTATGCATGGTCCATGAATGATGTTATAAATTTTGGCAGAAAAAAGATCCCTCAGCCTTATTCTACACTGAGTCTGGAACTCTCATCCCTTTCACATCTATGCTTTTAAGACTTACTCAGGCCTCTCTGCCCCCCAATTAAAAGACAAAACAAAACAAAACCTTTTTGTTAAAAGAAATTTTGAGTAAAGGTTTATAGAACAGATCATCAGTCCCACATTCAATAAATCATACACCTCATGTCATTACAATGATTGCAATTTCGTCAATGTACCATCAGTTAACAGCATTTATCTCTATTTATTTTAATGCTTGCATTCCTCCCGGAATCTTCCACTACTGTCATCTTGCCTGTGAAAACCTCCCTCGTTGTATATTGCCTTCCCTATCAATCAATTTAACATGTGTCTATGCTCTATCCAGTGAATAATTTTCCCTTCCCTCCCAACACTGGTAGACATCATAAATGTTTCTGTTAGCAAAAAGCAACAACAAAAACTCCTTTCTTAACTTTTTACAACAGTGGTCTCATACAATATTTACTGTTTTGTGACTAATTTCTTTTTTTTTATTTTTTATTTTAAGGTTTTTATTGTGGATTGAGTGAAAGTTTACAGGGCGCAACATCAGTTTCACATTCAACCATTCATATTGCCGGGGTCTGACCTCGACATAGTTGTGTTGTTCACGAGTGTTTGGTTCACGAGGAGGGGAGATCCAGCGGCGATAGGGATAGCGAAAGAATACACAGACAAACAGAAGAAGGGAGACAATGAGGCACCCCAAAGCCAGGGTGGATACATCACTGGTGGGCAGGCTTGGGACTACAGGCATCATGGCCTCTGCAGGCAGCAACTCACTGCCCTGCAATCTTTACTGCATGCCTTCCAACCCATAATGCACTGCAATCGTTACTGCAAGCCTTCCAACCAGTAATGCACACCTGGGGAGGCCCGGGCCTCTGCTTTATTTAGGGGAGGAGTTTCACACCAAGCTGGGAGGGACTTAGGCAAGGTACAGCTAACATCAGTACTTTTCCAGACATTCAGGTAACTTTACATCATACTTTGCTGGTTCGAATCCCAGGCCAGCAACTTGGAGTCTCGGGCCCAATTAACATATCTATAGCCCCTGAACTCAGTTGGGGGAAGGTGAGAGTTCTGCAGGAGCCGCCCAGGTGAATGGGCTGCACCTGGAAAAGGGATTAGGGAGGATGGGTTCTTTGTCTATAGAACAAAGAACCGAGAAGTAGCTAAGATATTTTTAGTTAATCCTTTGGAGAAAGGTTTAACCTTGCAACCTTTAGTCTTGGCTTTAGGAAAATATCACATTTATCTGTGGATTTTCAAAGGCTCCGTGTATTAATTTAATATATATAACTGAATATTAAGATGAAAGCAATTTGCCATTAACTGCCAGTGGCCTCATTTGTTACACTTGGGCCTATAGGACCTCGAACCTCTGAACAGTCTTACACGGTCCGCAACATCATATAACTTGTTTCATTACATTGATTATATGTTTTGTGACTAATTTCACTCAGCGTAATGTCCTCCAGGTTCATCCAGGTTATGATGTGTTTCACAGATTTGTCATTATTCTTCAGTGTTGTATAGTACTCCACTGTATGTATGGACCATGTTTGTATCCATTTTGCTACTCTTGGTCCCTTGACTGGTGCATTTAATCCATTTACATTCAGTATAATTATTGATAGGTATGGATTGATTGCTGTCATTTTGTTGTGTGTGTTTTTTGTGGTGCTGCTGGTTTCTATTTTCCACATAATTGAGTGTGCTGAGTTCATTTTGTTTGTGGGTTTTCTTTTATTTTTCAGTGCTGTTGCACTAATGTTTACTAAATCCTTAGGATTTTCCTTTTTTCATTTTGATGTGCAGGTGTATTAATCTTCTTTGAGGTGCCCTGTAATTTATTAATTTACTTCCATTTAAAACAGTCTATTTTATCTTAAAATCTACTTGACTTCCTTGCCATTTGGAAGTTCTGTATCTATACTATTCTCTCTTTTTGCTTTGTAGTTGATGTTATTATAGATTACTATGTCTGGTTCCTTCTTTTTAGTCTTGTAGGTTTGTTTTACTTTAAATTCTTCTTTTTATATCTGGATTGAATTCTGGGTAGTGTCATGTATAGTAATCTCAGGTTGTTGTCTGTTGTTGTGGTTCTTGATCCAAAGAACACTCATTATCATTTTTTAAAATAAAGTTGGTTTTGTCATTACCAATTCCTTTAACTTTTGTTTATCAGAAATGTCCTAATTTTGGCATTGCATTTGAGGGACAGCTTTGCCCTCTCAATGTATGGTCAATTTCCAAGACCTTGGTATTAATCTTCTGGATTTCTATTTGCAGGTTTTGTATTATTTCAAAATTTTCATTTATTTTGACATTTGTTCTTGTAGCGTTTTCCTTAGTTCTAAAGTTTTTTCTGTTTTCTCCTGGCTTTCATGGATCTTTCTGTTCATCTGTTGAAGGTTCCTAAATATCATTCTTTTGAATTCTTTCTCAGGTAGTTCCATTACCTTTTCTTCTTCAGAAACATTTTCTGACTCTGCATATTAGTCATTTGTTTGAGCCACTTCTCTCTTGTTTCTTCATGTGACCTAAAACCTTCTTTTAACTCTGAGACATTGTGTTGTTGATTTAATTGATGATTTTATATTGGCATGTTCTTAGGCACTCACCAGCTGAATTCTGGTGGGTGTGATTAGAGAGTGGAAACATGTGCACTGTTTTTTGTTTGCCATTCATGCAGCTCAGTTTAGGATGGGTTTAGTTGGTGTTGAATGATGTCTAGTGGTGATCAGGAGGTATGTTGTTGCTGTTGTTAAGTGCCATAGAGTTGGTTCCAACTCATAGCAACTCTGTAGAGGGTTTCTGAGGAGCATCTGGTGGATTTGAGCTATGACCTTGTGGTTTGCAGTCCAGGACCTATCCTACAGTGCCATACCAGGAGCCTAATCAGGAAGTACAGGAGATGGTATTGATTCTTGTCCAGTAGGTGAAGCTGCAGTGAGCATGGTTGTGACTGAATTGTATGGGCATGGTTGGGGGGCAGAGGTGCAAACAAGCAAACAACTGTGAAAACAGAATATAATAAAGGAGAATAAAGAAATAAATATAGGCAGCAACAAGATTAAAAAAGAATATAAGAGAACAAACAAGATGGCAGATCGGGTAGACGTATAGCAGAGAGCTCCGCCAACAACAACACAGAATACCCGACCAAGCAGGCTCCAGGGCTGGTCCCAGAACTCTGAACCACATATAAAGGAATACTTAGAAGGTTGGAAGGCTCACAGCTGGGGGAATTTGTAGCAGAAGCAAGAAATCCATTGTTTTCTAGTACGGGACGCTCAGCTGCTCCAGGAGCCGCCATCTTGGGTGAGACCACGTGGGGGAAAGATCTGAGAGGCCACAGACTCCTGGCAGAACTGCTGAGATAAAGGTTTAGACATTCTTCTCTTTTGGTAGCTGTTCATTCGCCCCTTGCTATCTGTGCACCTCCATTCTGGTGACTATAGGGGTGCCTGAGCTAGTGGGCACCCCAGCCCCACCCTCAGAGGGTTCTACTATGCATG